TTCAGGCAAGACGTCGTTGGTGTAGGGATCGTCAACACTGGGATAATCGACGCTGGAGCAATGTGATGTTTTCAGATGAGTCAAGGTTCACTGTTGATTTTTGGACAGACGTAGGAGGGTGTGGCGTCGTCGAAACGAGCGCTTCCAAGACGTTAACGTCATCAGACATGATCGATTTGGGGGTGGTTCTGTTATGGTGTGGGGAGGCATCACTGTTGCTGGAAGAACGGCTTTACATGTTGTTGCAGGGCGTGTTACAGGCCAGTACTACCGGGACAACATCTTGGCAGTCCATGTTGTGCCGTTCGCACGACGTCATGGCCGCCGTTTCATCTTCCAGGATGACAACGCAAGATGTCACAGGGCCATAATCGTCACAGGTTACCTCCAACAACAGAACATCACCACATTACCTTGGCCAGCACTGAGTCCCGACCTCTCCCCCATCGAGCATGTCTGGGACATGCTTGGACAGAGGTTACGTCAACGTCAACAACGTCCTGCCAATGTCCAAGAACTTGCTGCTGCGTTGCAACAGGAATGGGACAATCTGGACCAAAATGACCTTAGACGTCTCATTAGGAGTATGCCACGTCGGATCAATGCTTGTTTGGCAAACAGAGGAGGATTTACCCGTTACTGACTTGGTTGTGATGCTGTGGTAACTTTGCTGTTTGACCCCGGGTATCATTTCACCCTTATAATGGTCAGTCTGTGCCTTACTTAGTCTAACGATCATTTGGAATAAATCGATGAATGTGAACTTCATTTCATTTTGTCATTTGTTTCTTCGTCAGTTTCATTAGGTGACTTTAATAACACTTAAAAATCAAATATCCCCTACTTTTTTTGAATAGTATATGATGTTTGTTTATTTTCAGGTGAAATATCCTACTATGATTATATTAGGTGGAACAGATACCTGTGTACCCAATAGTCAGGGCAAGGAATACTACCGCGCGTTAAAGGCACGTAATGTACCTACAAGGTATGTGTCAGTTATACCTGTTGTCTCATATTCTTACAAAGTGTGTGACAATTACATATGTTAGGTATTATAACCCATTTAAAGGGCAATATTGGTGCCAGTCATTATCACATATGTGATAGAGCTGGTTAAACACATTCCAAATATAATTTTAACACAGAGATCATTGCTACGATAGCTGAGTAATACAGGTTTCCTGAATCGGAAGTGACGAACGCCAAAGGAAAACACGAGTAATCCCTCTATATAACTGACTGATGTGACGAGTGATAACAAACACATGGGCGAATTTTGCCTAATAAGTAAACCGGTGCCGCATCGCAATTGTATAGGCGTAGGTTCATATCACTTACCATCATACAGCCGAGGATAGATGTAGAGTAACGGAATCTGTCGAGGTTTGCCGAGATAGAGAGAGAAAGGGAGAGAGAGAGAGAGAGAGAGGGAGGGAGGGAGAGATGTGAAGCCATCTGTCTAATACTAGTAGGGGGATCACGTGGCTAAGTGGGTAAGACGCTGGCTCGCTAGCCTGGAGGTTGGGTGTTCGATCCCTGCATTTGCCGAGAAAGTTCATCCCGATCTTCCGGCGTGGTTCACCCCTTGTCAGTGACGCAGGACGGAGGGTCTGACAAGGACAGCTGTCTAGTCCTTCGGATGAGACGAAAAACCGAGGTCCCGTGTATACATTGAAATGCACGTAAAAGATCCCTTGGCAGTTGGAATTCGATATAAGAGTAGGCGATAGTGCCGCTGCCCGGGCAAAATGTCCTTCGTCGTCTTCATTAGCCCAGCATAGGAGCAGAACAGTGGGACGTTAAACCCCATTTCATTTCATTTCTAATACTAGTAACAGTAAGGAGTCTATAAATAGCTTTCTGTCTCCTGGTATATTCACCCTTCCTACAGTTTTCTACAACAAGGTTCCACACATGTTAGTTTAAATTTGAGCTCCTTAGACTGTCCCAAGCCCGACTGGCGTAGTGTGAGTAACTGTGATGCGAATAAGACGTTGTATAATGATCCTACAATACAAAGACCTATTCATTCGGTTGATATGGGGCCGGCTGGGGAACAGTAGAGATACCGTTTAATATCATGGCCACCAGAAGGTCTAGGAAAGAACTAGAGCGTTTCGGGATCGGGACTAGTATATGGTTTATTTTAATTTCAATAACATGCTTGTAGATACGGGTGACCAGCAGAAACCCCTACAAGGTTGGAAAGGCGGTCCCACTCCTTGTCACGTACCAGCAGGGGATGAAAATCACACAACTTAACTCAATGACAGACCTTATGATCTAAAGGCACGCTTTAAATCATTCGGCCACACAACCGCTCAGCAGATTTAACCTCTATCAATAGATCCATCGACCATTTATTTTATATTTTCAGGTTATTAGAGTATAAACACGAGGGCCATATTATAGTGTCAGTTGAATCAGGAGCAGATTTGTTTGTTAATGCTATTTTTTGGTTTAATAAATATGGTACATAAAGTTATATATGTTATATATCGTATATGATATATGTTATATATCGTACATGATATATCTCTTATATAAATATCGTACATGATATATGTTATATATAAATATCGTACATGATATATCTTATATATAAATATCGTACATGATATAGCTCTTATATGAATATCGTACATGATATATCTTATATATAAATATCGTACATGATATATCTTATATAAAAATATCGTACATGATATATCTTATATATAAATATCGTACATGATATATCACAGATATCGTACACGATATATTTTATATATAAATATCGTACATCTTATATATCAATATCGTACATGATATATCTTATATATAAATATCGTACATGATATATTTTATACACAAATATCGTACATGATATATCTTATATATAAATAACGTACATGATATATGTTATATATATCAGCTAATAACACATTCTACAGTAGATGTCGTCTGTGTAATAAATTTCATAATCTAAATATCGTACATGATATATTATATCTTATTTAATTTATAAATATCGTACATGAAGTTACACGATATATCTCATAAATACCGTACATGATATATTTTATATTTATCACAAAATAACTCATTCTGCAGTAGTTGTCGCTTGTGTGATAACTTTCATAATCTACTGCGATATCTCCTTAGGAAATAGGGGGTTGGATGGCGAATGGTTAGCGCGTGCGTGCTGTATCATAAGGCCTGTCATTGAGTCAACTGGTGTGATTTCGAATCCCTGGCTGTACGTGACAAGGTGTAGGGTCGCATGTCCAACCTCATGGGTTTTCTCCGGGTCCTCCGGTTTCCTCTCACTGCTAACGACCCCTACCCGCAAGCGAATTATTGAAATAAAATTAAAACCATATGCTAGTCCAAAAATGACCTAGTTTGTGTCACCCCCTCTCCCTCTCTCTCTCTCTCTCTCTCTCTCTTGATGTCCCGCCTCAAAAACATGAACATTCATCAACAACAGACTGAAAATGTACATTCAAATAAACTTCTTAGATTCTAGAACAAGAAGTTAACAACAAATGTCACGTAAAAGAGATAATTGCTTGATATAGATGCAATATATTCGTTGATGAATTTACTAGTCTTTGTCCGTATAACATAGTTATCGCCCCTTAATCACTATAGACAATAGCTCTCGAAGTAAAATGCTATCACTTTCTTCGTTGATGAAACTTTATTTCAATAATTCGCTTGCGCGTAGTGGTCTTTAGCAGTTTGGGGAAACTGAAGGACCCGGAGAAAACCCAGGAGGGATGACAGGCGACACTACTGCTTGTCACGTACCACCGGGAAATCGATGGTTTTAGAAAAAAACAAATGTTCAGTTCAAATGTTTCCGGAAGACATCACAAAACATTCCTACATGGCATTTTGATGGCATCCATTTACGGTCGAACTTTCGAATTTCGAAAAAAACGCCAGATTCTTTGAGAAATAACCGAGATATGGTCAACATGCGATACTTTTTTGTCCCATTCGTTAAACACTCCCTGTTTGTCAAAATTGATCCAATTTATAATAAATGTTGGATGTCAACAAAATCTACGATTGCATAATGTTTGACCCATGCTATTTTTTGGCTGCAACGTCTGACTAAAATCCACAAAAGAAGAATATTAATAAAACTCTTTCCAAAACAAAACGTGTTCCTATCAAGAAAAAGAGGCTAGAAGAGAGACAAATAGGAAACTAAACTGAATGATTTACATATGGAGGATCATGGATCGATTTCAGTTGATAGTATCATTGTAAATACTAAACTAAATTAAAACCTTTTTGGGCTGATCTTCCTATTAGGGATCCAACTTTTAAGAATACTGTAGTTTACAAGACACTCTATATCGCTTAAACTTAAAGATACCTTTATGTAAGATTTAGATAAAGAGCTAGCTATTCTTGCTATAATAGTTCGAAAATAGATAATGTAAAATGAATAATTTGAAAATGTCATTCAAATTACTCTATTGCGAGCGAGGATATTAGCATTTGAAGTCTCGCTCCTCCATTTTTTAGCTTAAATCAAAATATGGCCGAACTGTTTTAATCTATTTAATATCGGAGAAACCCGATGCCACCGAGGGCTGATTATGTTCTGGATAAGTTAGTAATGTCTAATTAATAAATTAGATAACATTTCAGGCCTAAAGAAAGACCTGTAATAGGCAGATTTAGCTCTTGCATAATGTATGTTTAAATCAAGTTCGTGCTTTAATGTAAATAAATGAATATGTAAAAGATCACGTGACAGTATTGGCTGATATTATTGGTTGTTACTACCAGATAGTGTGAATGATGGGAGGGTTGGGGCTAAGATTAATTATTGATTGTTGTTACCAGATAGTGTAAACGATGGGAGGGGGAGGGCCGAGGGGCTAGGATTAATAAATTTATCTGTAAGAGGTCATGTGACAGTATTGGCTGATATTATTGGTTGAGCGATTATCACCATCTGTAGTGACAGTCGATTAAACACAAATAATAGATAAACATTTATAGGCACATATTTTTATCTCGCATCATGATCATGCAATTTATTTCCCACAAGATAAAATTTGTCCACCATGTCCATCATGACAAACGCTAGCGGAGTAAGAAGCTCGAATCTTTGTCGACCTGTATTGACTTGGGCAGTTGTTCTTGGTCCACGATCTGACTTTCGCCTCACAAGCTGTTCCGCATGATATCATAGCTGAATTACCACATCCACATCCAAGCCAACCCCTACAACTCTGAATGGAGCCAAAGTCGTGCAAAATCCTACCATAATTGCTGTTGTCCACGGCCTTACAGAAACAGCTGAAAGAAAACAACGACACTTTGAATTATTTAAGTTTTAACCTCCTACTTTTCTCTTCCTTCCGACCTGATGAAGACGGGCATACGCAACGCAGTGTACTATGAGACCAAATTTGTCCGAACAGCGACGCTACGGCTTACAGCTATCAATGGTGATTTTAAGTTTTCACCAACGTGTATATGGCATCTGCGTTCGTCCCACCGAACGACTAGACGCCGTGTCTGCTAGGTCATCAGTCGTGGGCCACTTCCATGAAAAAAACACACCGGAAAATTCCAAGGAACTTTGTAAGACCTCAACGAGATCTATTACGTGATCTCCTGGTTAGCTAGCCAAGATCTTACTCACTGAGTCAGCGCGGCTCTCAATTCATGAGCTACAACACTACAAAGGATTTGGTATTGTATTTTGTTCGTCCAGCTTTGGGAGGTCATATGGACAATTCATCGATTTGGAATCTTTGATAATGAACTGCGTTAGTGTAACCCACCCGAGTGAGCCACGGTGTTCGATCCCTGGATTGGCTGAGTAAAAGTTCATCGGGATTTTCCGACGTGGTTTCCCCTTGTCAGTGGTGCAGGACTGAAGGCCTGATAAGGACAGCTGTCTAGTCGTTCGGAGGGGACGAAAAACCGAGGTCCCGTGTATACGTTGACATGCACGTAAAAGATCCTTGGCAGTTGGAAATCGATATAAGAGTATGCCATAATACCGCTGCCCGGGCAAAATTGGACTCATAGCACAATGTATGGCGTATGCACGTCTTCATTAGCCAAGTCGGAGCTAAACAGTAGGACGTTAAACCCCATTTCATTTCAGGTCGTTACCCACCCGTATCCATACCACACACAGATAACGGACCTTCCCAACCTAGACTCTTCTGGTGACATATTTAGTTTTATTTTGTTGGTAAAATATTCAGTAGTCTACTCCATCATTCATGCGTTGTACTAAACTATGTAACGTCTCGTTGCAATCTGTATTTCAACAATTCTCCTGCGCACAGACATATTTAGGAGGGTACTGGGTGAAATCCCACTAGGCTAGCCATGCAGTTTACATTGTTAAAATCGGATTGTGGGAGGGGCTGGATACCCGGTGAAATCCCACGAGGTTAGACGTGCACTATACAATGAATAAAAGAATGAAATATTGTGCGCGTCAGCTACAACCGGAATATATTGGCACATCAGCTCCAACCGGTCTATATTGCCCCAAACATATGGCGTTACTCGAAACAAATTAAAAACAAATAATCACAAAATATATCTATATATACATCCATAAAAACAAATATCACAGTAAATATCAAATAAATATAAACTTTATATATATATAGAGAGAAAATCAGGATATATACAATTCAAATATTCGATAAAAAATTGTCTCTTTTAAAAAAATCCGACGCTTTACAATATAGACCAGGCTGGGCAAACAATTGCCGTAGTGCCTGGCAACGGTAATACTTAGTTCTAATGTACTTGAGATGATTGTAGTCAATTAAAATATGTGTAGCTGTCGTGCACTATACAGTGGTAAAACCGAATTGCGGGAGGGAACCTGGTACCCGGTGAAATCCCACGTGGTTAAATAGGCACTATATAGTGGTAAAATCGGATTGCGGGAGGGGCTGGGTACCCGGTGAAATCCCACGAGGTGAAACATGCACTATATAGTGGTAAAATCGGATTGCGGGAGGGGCTGGGTACCCGGTGAAATCCCATGTGGTTAAACAATTGTAAAATCGGATTGTCCGTGGTTGTATAAACGAGGGGTGGGGGTGGAGGGCCGAATGGTTAGTACGTGCGCGCTGTATCATGAAGCCTGTCATTGAGTCAACTGGCGTGGTTTCGAATCCCCGGTTGAACGTGACAAGGAGTAGGGTTGCCCTGCTAACCTCGTGGGTTTTCTCCGGGTCCTCCGGTTTCCTCCCACTGCTAAAGACCCCTACGCGCAAGCGAATTATTGAAATAAAATTAAAACCATATGTTAGTCCCGAAATGACCTAGTTTGTGTCGAATGGACGTTAAACTCTCTCTCTCTCTCTCTCTCTCTCTCTCTCTCTCTCTGTATAAACGACAAAGCTACCAACATATTATGTAGAAAACTCACTTTTTCGCGTTCCATCCCTTTCTCAAAAGCCATCCATCGGTCTGATTCACTATCATTATAACCAATATTAAAGCGACGTATCGGACTTCAGACATTTTTAAAAATAAATGTTGGCTGGAAAAAAAAATTCAATAAAAAAAAATAAATGTAATAAATTATTCTCCTCATATGGTATATTTCTCACACACAGGGAACCTCAGTTGTTCTTCCCGTCAGATGGAGCCACGGTGGCTAAGTGGGTAAGACACTGACTCAGTAGCCTTTGTATTGGAATTGTTATTTGAAGATAGAACGTACACTAACAATGTTGCCCCAGAAGCTGAGAGTTATTTAAATTTTCAGATAACATTTTAAAGTGTTTCCATATTATATAGAGTGGATAATAAACGACCAAGGATCAATTCGAACAAGCCACATGTTGAACTGAAATTATCAAAGTGACAGTATTATTGCAAAACAATTTCATCCATTTGTAAATTTTATTTGGAAATACAGTAATACAAACATTAAATACATCAGTGTGATATCATTTTAAATATAAATTATGTAACTGTAAATAAATTTTGGATATTTGGTTGGTTTGTTTATTTTACAGGGGCGGATCTAGGAATTTTGAAAAGGAGGGGCGCCGCAAAATGAAGCCACTGACCGCGGAGACGGGCACGCCGCTGAGAGGGTTTTTTTTGGAGGGGGTGGGGTGGGGGATCCTCCCAAGAAAATTATCCGTCATTTCCTTGCATCTGTAGCCATTCCAAGAGCTATTTGGCTGATATTTTCGTCTAAGTAAACGTTCGGAAATCGTTGAAAAAAAAAGAGCCTTACCCGATTCCACAAGATGTTATTATTGATGTCTGTCTATAGTCACTCTATAGGATTAGGGCACCGTCAGCTAAACAACAAGAATTCGCTTGAAAGTGGAAGCATTAATTAAACCAGACTGGTGTGTTTGAGTCGATGGTTTGAGTTATTTGGGATCCCTGCAATGGGTTGGGAACGGACATATTTGGGTCTGAGAAAAGGCACTTTCAGCAGAAAAAAGGGCACTGTCAAAAATTGGAACCGCTTCTGTCACGAACTCAACTGTGAGCAAAGCCCAGGGCCCCGCGGTTCATGGCAAAAAGAGAAAAAAAATTAAATTCCAGATGAAAGTTTCACGGTAATCGACCTAGCGGCGCGAGGACGGAGACTTAGCTATTTCTCAAACTTCTCTGTGAAGGTTTCACGGGGTGATCGGTCTAGGCTTCTCGCGGTGCGATGGGCGGAGACTGGGTGAGTCTGCAATCCCTCAACCTTCTCTGTGATTGGTCTAAACCAGTGACGTAGGCAATTTTTTAGCAGTAGTCACGGTCACGCGTTAGTGGTCCCTCGATTCTAGTCAGGCCCAGGACCCCGCTCCGGTTAAGCTGGGCTCTGACTGTGAGTAGATTTCTTGAAATCGTCGTTTTCATATTCTACGTCTTGTACAGTTTTTTTTATCATAATCAGAAACTTTTGGTAAACATTCCGGGAATTTTTCGCCAAAGAATGATGGGGAAATTTCGATGTTTTCGGAAGCAAACTTGCGTTTTGTAGCAGTTCATTGAAGAGAGCGGCGTCCATTTTGACGACTATGGTCGAACTAGCTTCTGTTCGGGTGTAGTGAACTATACTTTGTCGTATAGTCGTGGCCATAGAAGGGCACCGGGAGTAGCGTGTTCGATCCGTGCATTGGCCGCGAAAGTTCACCAGAATAAAGATTTTCCGACGTGGCTTCCCCTTGTCAGTGGTGCAGGAAGGAGGGCCTGACAAGGATCGGGCAAATAAAAACGAGATTCCTTGTATACATTGGCGTGCTCGTAAAATATCCCTTGGTAGTTGAAATTCGATATAAAAGTAGGCCATAGTGCCGCTGCACGGGCAAAAATTCCCTCATAGCACACTGCATAGCGTATGCCCGTGTTCATTCGCCGAGTCGGAGTAGAACAGTTGGCCGTTAAACACCATTTCACTTCATTTCGTGCCATCAGAAAGACAGACGACGTTTCTTGAGACACCAACGGGGCAAACGATGCTCGAAAACCCCGGGAGATTTTCTCTGTCACAATGGGGTCGAACTTCGGACACCCTGATTATTCAGCCAGTGATTTACTCACTGCGACACCGTGATCCCATAAAATATCGAAATAATCTACAAGCTGGAATGAATGATCTAAATTAGGTAATGTAGAAAGAGTATGCTTACCCTGCCTCGTGTACGATGCAATGTTTAATAAATGCACTTGTATATGATGTATAAATATCAATCCAAGAGCAGTATTTATACTTAAAATGTGTTAAAAACCATTTATTTTGGATACGTGCTATGACACGGTTGAAACTAAATGAACAATACAAGAAATTAGATCCTGTTCGGTTATTTGAATGATATAAAAAAAAGTCTGTCACACTGTAAAAACATGCGGTTTATTCTTTTTTTGGTATTCACGAAAATGAAATGAAATGAAATGGAGTTTAACGTCCTACTTTTCTGCTCCTAACCTGAGGTATTCACGAACAGGGGAACTGGCGTGGACGTAAAATCTGATGGCATTTCCAGTTTACACTTCAAATATTTCAAACTAAGCTAAAGTGATATGATACATGATCGAGACTCTAAATACGTGTATATCTAAACTACCGGGAATAATGACAGATACTCTAAATACGTGTATATCTAAACTACCGGGAATAATGACCGATTCTCTAAATACGTGTATATCTAAACAAGGGAATAATAACCTAGACTTTAAGTACGTGTTTATCTAAACTACCGGGAATAATGACCTAGACTCTAAATACGCGTATAGCTAAACTACCGGGAATAATGACCGATACTCTAAATACGTGTATATGTAAACTACCGGGAATAATGACCGATACTCTAAATACGTGTATAGCTAAACTACCTGGAATAATGACCGATACTCTAAATACGTGTATATCTAAACTACCTGGAATAATAACCGATACTCTAAATACGTGTATATCTAAACTACCGGGAATAATGACCGATACTCTAAATACGTTTATATGTAATCCTGAATGGATTGTCATGCAATAGAGAACAACCTATAAAACACTACCCCACAAAACAAATCATCACATGAAATTTCATGAAATCAGAAATTCTATTATTGACGCAATAATGAAATGGGGTTTAACGTCCAACTTGTCTGCTCCATCAGGGCTAATTAAGACGGGCATTATAGTCATGTAGTGTGCTATGAGGGAAATCTTGCCTGGACAGCGGCACTACGACTTACTCTTAATACGAATTCCAAAAGGGTTCTTTAACGTTCATCTCAAAGTGTTCACTGAATCTCGGTTGTTCGCCAAATCCGCATGGGCGTGGGTTTGGGGGGGGGGGGGCGGGGGAACGCGTCCCCTCCCTTAGAATGTGAAGGGGGGGGGGGGACGAATAGGTCTCTGTCCCCCCCCCCCATGATTTTGATCGCCAGGACAGATTTTCAGGTTTATATCCACATGATGGTGAGCTTGTTTCTACGTATCTGAAACTCAATCAGGACATGGAACAAGAATTGCCATTCTTCAAGCGCCAGTTTTCGGCCAAATCCATTTCACTTGTGCATGAAGCGTTCCTCATTATGTCACCTGAAGTGAGGCAGATGTTCCCTTCTGTCAAAGCTCTTCTCATCTCACACTGCTGTACCGTGCTAGTTCCTGCTCAGTTGAGCGATCCTTCAGCATTCTGCGCCGATCAAAACTTGGCTGCGCAACTCCATGACGCAAAACCGACTGAACCACATGAGGGCGTGTGCGGTGCATAATGACCCCCTTCATGCCGCCAAGATATTCAAAGAGAACAGTCTTGATCGTAGAACGATTCACTTAACTTCATATATTTATGCAGCTTTGATGTAGGTAGTCAATTTTTCCATATTGTCATCATATTACCCCTAGTTACAGCCTTCATCGACATAACACTGGTACAGTAAACTGTTCGTAATAATTTGTTTCGTTTGGTAATGAAATGTTCCAGGTTCCAGAGTTCGTCCGTCCCCCTCCCCCCCCCCCCCCAAAAAAAAAAAAGTTATGACAAATCCACGCCCTTGCCAATCCGAATAACTAGATGAATGTCCGTTGTCAGATGCCCCGTCCTGCATCGCAAGGAGAAACCACACCGGTAATCCTGAGGAACTTTCTCAGCCATAACCGGGATCGAACCCGGTACCTCCCGATTAACAAGCCAGCCATATTTTGATTTAAGCTAAAAATGAAGGAGCGACATTTGGCTTCGAACAACCAGTACGGTGGTTGAAATTATTGCACACGTCATTTCACATTATCTATTTTCGAACTATTATAACAAGAATGGCTAGCTATTTATCTAAATCTTACATAATGTATCTTTAAGTTAGAAGTCGCGTTTGATTTACAGTGAGTACACCGAATCTAGGTTTTTCGTCCAATCCGAATAACTAGATGACCGTCACTTGCGCTCCATCCTGCATCACTGACCAGGCGATTCCAATTTCCTTTCTTTGGCGGAAAAAAAATGAAACCAAGAGTGATCACTGGTTCAAACTGTATAGGAATCTATGACAGCGGGAATTCCAAGAACAGCATGAAACGTTGTTTCCTATTTCGCATTGCAATATAACCATAGAATATCATATTTTAGTCTCAAAATAACCGAGATGTTGGTTTATTTTTTTAGATCCCTTGAAATTCAAATATCATTAATTACTTGTATCATATTTACCTTAAACTTTCTGTTTATAACAGCACGGTGTGAAGACTGTAGACAGCTTTTATATCAGTACAGTATTGTTGATACCAACACAGTCGTTTATATCAGCACAGTGTGAAGATTGTGTCAGCGCGTTTATCTTTATAACGAGCTATTGGTGACTGAACATGACTGACAATTACTATATCCTGTCATATTTGCGATGCGAGAGGCAAGTTTGTCTTAAAACTGACTATCAAACACTCACAAGAATAGACAGCAACTGTTTCGCCATTCTGTCGTTAGTTGATTTTATATGTAACACATGCATAATAAGGGGGCAACTGTATTATGTTATGAGGGTTGTGGGGGGGGGGGGGTATGGCAAGTGCCCCCCACCTAGATCCAACATTGTTATTCTTTAAATACACAATGATGACCTTGTCACAGATCTAACCAGTTTATTAAATACATTAAAGTAAACTAATCATTAAAAGCAATCAATATCCCACCTTGTTGAAATTATTTAATATACTGTGATATTTGTTTTTATTTGTGTACATGAACACATTATGTGATATCTTTTAATTTGTCTTATACTATTCACCATATGTTTGGTGCCATATATCCCGGTTGGAGCTGACGTGCCATAAAACTCTATTTCATTCATTCATTCCTTTTTGATGAAATAAAATATTCAAAATTCTTGATCTTTTATTTTTAGTTTGTATATAGATGACACATAGTTTATTTTTAATGGGGGGGGGGGGGTATATGTACCATTGCTTACTAAACATAATTTATATAAGTATAAATATTAATACTACTTCAATAGATTAACTAGTAATTATTGTATTTAGTGTTTTTATCATGCTTTACTTATATTATATTATATATATGGATATATATGTTCTTGGCTACTAGACATAATTTATATAAATACATAGATAAATGTTATTTAAAGTAGCTAAGTCTCTAACTCAATACAATTAAATCAACATTGATGTTGGGATCTTACCGAGAAAAGATGGGATTCTGACAATCTGATTAAAACACAGATCCTATTTCGTTTCGTTTTTTATAGTTCAAAATTTCGTTTTACTTGTCTTCAGAGCACTAGGATCTGGAAGAGTTGTTATATAACAGGCGTTCTGGTTGAGGAATTAGCCAATGAAACGGTCTGTTACGGCGAGTTCTTGAGGTACTCTGCACGGAACCATGGGGAAACCCGTAGAAACGTCAACGATGATTGATTAATCAATGTCTGACGTCATAGGGTAGAAAGCCACTCGTATGACCCCTGTCGCGACCTCCCAGTACAACAGGTCAGACCTTCATGTAGTGTAGGACATTGAAAGTATAAAAAACGAAATGAAATTTAGATCTGTATTTTAATCAGATTGGGCTTCCGATATCCAATATTTAAAACAAAATAAACTTTTTACTACTGATACACGAATCGTGTATCATAATGCGTTTCGGTGCCATTTGTTGTTGTTCTTAGTGTTTAACGTCCGCTTCCATCGAAGGTAATATCGCAGACAAGTCTTATTTTTCATTTGTATTATCTCAGCGCACCCACAGGGGTCTTTCCTGTGGGAGGAAACCGGGTAAACTCACGAGGTTGAGAAGGCGCCCCTATTTCCAAGCCACATACGCTCACACCAGGGATGGAAACCACAGCCGCAATCCAGAGGTGACCGGCCAGCTAGAGGTCGAAGCGCGGCATTCTAGACAACTAGGCCATCCCTACCCCCCATTTTCTGCAGAGCATGCGTAATAAATACTCTGTAGACTGGAATATCCAGACGCTAGAGATTGTCATTCGATTGAGGTGACCGGCCAGCTAGCGGTCGAAGTGCGGCACTCTAGACCACTAGGCCACCCCCCCCCCATTCTCTGGAGAGCATGTGCAATAAATACTATCTGTGTAAACTGCAATAACCAGACGCTAGAGATTGCCATTCGATTGAGACTTCTGGCGTATTTCGTCGAACATAAATGATTAGAAATTACAGTTAAAACTGAAATGATTGAATGTAAATCAGTTTATATACATTTATATTACATTATTATATGAATTGCGACCCATTTGTGTCAATTTCTAGGTCCCAAATATTAGCAATTTAGCTCCTTCAGATAGAGCAATTACTGTATTTTATTTTTTTATCATGCTTTATATGTCCTTGTCTAGTAAGGGATCACGGTGGGTAAGACGCTGGCTCGCTAGCATTGGCCGAGAAAGTTCATCCAGATTTTCCGGCGTGGTTCCCCCTTGTCAGGGCCTGACTAGGACAGCTGTCTAGTCATTCGGATGGGACGAAAAACCGAGGTCCCGTGTACACATTGACGTGCACGAAAAGGATCCCTTGACAGTTGGAATTCGATATAAGAGTAGGCCGTAGTACCGCTGTCCGGGCATAATTTCCCTCGTAGCACACTGTATGCCCGTCTTCATTAGCCCAGTTCAGAGCAAAACAGAAGGACGTTATACCCCATTTCATTTAATATTATGTTTTAAATATATATATATGTAAAGGATTTGATATGTTTAGTTTTAATTATACTTTCTGTGATATTTGTTTTTATTTACATATATGAATACATTTCTGTGATAATGTGTTAATTTGTCTCGTTAAATTCGCCACATGTTTAGTGCAATATAGCTTGGTTGCAGGTGACGTGTCATAAAACCCTATTCATTTCATTTCACTTCATTTTCATCCAAGGGATTAGACACGCTTCCTTTCCAGACCACCTTTCCTGCACCACCGACAAATTCCGAGGACCTTTCGTGGCCATCACCGGGATCGAGCCCGGTATCTCTTGGATAGTGAGTCTTCTATGTCTTACATACTAGTTTAAAATGATTCCCCCCCCCCACGAAGCCTTACTAGACGAAATAACCAAAAATCACAGTAAGATCAGATACTCTCTTTTCTCTAGCTTTCTTTTTCAGATGCTGGATTCTTCCTTCAGAGAACCAACAATAAAAGGAATGAATAACATAAATAAAGATGTAAAAACGCTACCATACCGGACAACATACCCAAATGGAAGGAAAAATGGACCAGGACTCAAACTCACCAACAAAGCCCCAAGGTAGAGTTGCACCGCCCTGCCATTCTACCGGACAGAACGACCAGACCAACCCAATCGACCCAAAATATATATATATGTACATAATATGTCTATGTCTGTTAAAATGTCCGTCTTTGTCCATGTCTGTTCCGTCAAATCGCATGTTTGTAAATGTCTACTGGCACCTGTTTCGTCCTTTGCACATGTTATCCTACTGTTGTTTATTGTCCTATGTACATATATATGAAAACCTAACCATCCTAATATTTCTCACTAATCACATTGTAAATTAATGCACCTTGTACACATAACACGTCATTGTCTGCGATATCACCTCGGTGGAAGCGGACGTAAAATACAACTAACACTAACTAACCGTGGCGTGCCAACATGGATATTATACACACACACACATGATTGGTATAGCTTCATTCAATCCTCTCTTTTATTTGTAACAATTTATGACAACTAGAGCTTCTGGTCTCTTCATTTTAATAAGGTGAACCCCGGTGGTTCAGCTAGTAAGTCGCTGCCTTGCTAACATAGAGGTCCCGTGCTCGATCCTGGTTTAGCCGAGAAAGATCGTCGGGATTTTTCGTTTTGGTTCCCCATTGTCAATGATGCAGGACGGAGGGCCTAGCAAGTGACAGCTTGTTTGAGACAAACCTGCTGTGTGGGCCTATTGGCTTTCTTGCATTATGTTCTGACGTGCATGACGAACAGAGACAGAGAGAGAGAGAGAAATGGGTTTAACGTCCACTCGACACAACTAGGTCATTTCGGGACTAACATATGGTTTAATTTTATTTCAATAATTCGCCTGCGCATAGGGGTCTTTAGCAGTGGGAGGAAACTGGAGAACCAGGCGAAAACCCACGAGGTTGGACAGGCGACCCTACTCCTTGTCACGTACACCCGGGGATTCGAAACCACGCCAGTCGACTCAATGACAGACTTTATGATACAGCGCGCGCACGCTAACCATTGAGCCACCCAACCCCCCTCATGACGAACAAGGAAGAAAATATCAAGAGGTTAAATTATATATACACGACATTAATCATCAACGGGTTTCCCATTTTACGTACTATCCTGGTGTACGGTAAATACTCTCATTAATACCAGTTTCTACATCCACACTTATCTGATCAACATTGTGAATTTCTAAGATCTAACGGAACTATCGTTTAATTGATTCCCCGTTTCTCAAGTAAGAGAGGTTTATTTGTGTCAATGTTCCGGATAGATGTTTCCGATTCTAACTGTAATAATGTATATTGAAATAAATGAGCAATGTTATAGTGTTAATTTTAATACCAGTTTGAAGTTTGTGGTGTGTGTATGTGAGGGAGGGGGGGGGGTAAATGTGATTTATTTTTTTTTAACTTTTTTTTAAAACAATATTTTTATTCAGGTTGTTTGAATGGGATTGGGGAACAGACTTAGTCTATGTAAAAAAAACCCTCCCTAAATAATTTGTATATATATATATATATTATTAATGCAAAATGGTTGTATATACATAGTTAAAATGGCAAACACATACATATTATATAGATATAATACAATTGGTGAAAATGTACAGTATATATAGTAGTAAATAATTATACATATACAACCATAGTACGAGGTTTTTAACTAATAGGCAACATTAGAGAGACTAGCCAATATTATACATAAAATAGACGATAAAGTATTATTTGATCGAGATTAAAATGTGTTTGACATATCTATAAACTTGTGGACATGATTAAAGACTGTAGGTTGTAGAGCCGAATAAAAGGCAGTTTATAGTTTTAAAATCATGTTGTAATTTATCTATTGTTTCTGTTCGTGCATTTGAATGTAAGGAACATCGCAGAAGGCAATGATCGGGATCTTCAAATATATGACAGCGGAGGCATGCGGGGCTGTCGGCAACATGTCCTTGGAATGTGTGATTTATTTTTAGGTGGCTGTAGCCCGTGATTAGCAACAGTATGCGAATTAAATAGGTTCTAATTCAATTCTCGGTGATTCGCTCGACAAGTGGGTCCCCGCAATCGATCCCTAAATTCTCCGGAATAATAAGGCTACCCAAATGACCTAAAGACAAGTTATTTCGATAA